CACCTGCAATTTTTCAACGCACATTGGAGCAAGCTTTCGCAAATATATCAAGGTTCTGATTTATCTAGATAACATTTTTATCTGTGGCCGAGATCGCCCTGAACATGACACACGCTTAGACGCTGTTTTAAACCGAATTCAGGACTGGGGATTTTGATTGAGCATCGAAAAGAGTAAGTTTCACACAACTATTCAATCAACTATTTAAGGTTTGTTATTTCTTCCAGAGATATTGAGCCCAATCCCGCGCGTACTCAATCAATACGTGCAATGCGTACATCTTGTAATGCAAAGGAAGTTAGATCATTTCCTGATCTAGTCTACTATTACGGAAAATTTGTTTCAAATCTACATCGATTAAAGACTCCGATGGAGTCTATTATCATCTCCGATGGATTACTAAAGAAGAGTACACTATTCGTATGGGATTCGGCCTGCAATAATACTTTTCAAAAGATCAAAGAAGTCTTAACAAATCCATTCCTACTAGCACACTACGATCTCAGATAAACGCTAATCGTCGCTGCGGATGTTGGTCCAACGGTTATCAGCGGTATTCTGCAGCAACGCTACCCAGATGGACAAGTTAAGGCCGTCTTTCACATGTCAAAGGCACTATTGAAAACACAGCAGGGTTACAATCAAATTGAAAAAGAAGCATTTGCGCTCGTAACTGCCATTTTAGGAATTTCATTTTTGGACGACATTTTATTCTCCGGATAACCGACCTCTTTTGAGACTGTTCCACAAGTCAAAGACAAAGAGGTTGGATACTCGTACTGCTAATCGGTTGAAGCGCTTCGCCTCATTGATTATGACTTTGACATCGAGTATGTCAGGACGGAACATTTGGCTAAGCAGACGCCTTGTCTAGACTCCTCCAAGAGGCTAGAGCAGAAACCTCTGACTTGAAAATGGAGGTGGTTGTTGCGTCTCTGCAACAGCTAAAACTGCATCAGTTAGTTCAAGAATCAGCCCAGATTTTACCCAAGGCTCGGGAAGAATTACAATGGACTACATACAGAGATGGAATTCTGGCCGAAGTTATCAATCACCTACAGACCGGTTGCCAAAAATCGGATATAAAGGACAACGACCGGCTTCCTTATTATCGTCGCCGCAACTATTTAACCGTTGTAGACAAGACTCTTGTCTCCGATGACAAAACCGTCATTCCGCATAGTCTTCGACCATTCATTCTTCGGAAACTGCTATGCAACGCGATGTCAAAAGCTATGTCAAGAAGTGTCAGCATTGTGCAGAAACGGCACTGAAACCCACGAAAGAAGCATGCCATCCTTGGCCGGAATCGGAATCAGCATGGGAGCGAATTCATATAGATATCGCAGGCTCAATCTACGGACAGTAGGTGTTTGTCACTGTCGATAGTTACTCCAGATTCACAGAGGCGGAATGGTTTCTAACAATTACAGCTGCGGTTACATGTAAATATTTACGTTGACTATATTCAAGATATGGGCCGCCAAAGGTGGTAATGACAGATAATGACACTCAATTTACAGCAGAAGAATTTGCTCAACTTTGCGCGTATTTCAGCATTGTTCACTTACGTAGTATCCCAGAGCACCCCCAGTCAAATGGATTGGCTGAGAGAATGATCAATACACTGAAACGTTCCTTAGATCTGCAGGTTCCAAGACAAAGAGAAGAGAAATTAAACCAGTTTCTATATACATACAACTATACATCGTGTGAAGCAGCTCCCAACCAAAAGCCTCCGTCAAAAATATTCTTTGGTCGCAAATTTCGAACACTTTTAGAAATTTTTAGTCCTATAAACCAGGATCAACTTTATCTCGACACGAGAGAATGAAGAAGCAGTTTGATGCCCATCATGGAGTAAGGACACGTCGTTTCGTTCCAGGGCAGCTTGTAACGGTTCAACTCGCAAATGGCCGTCGAGTCCCGGAAAAAATTATCAGCTGCATATAACAATCTATAATAGCACGAGTTCGCATAGAGAATGCTACTATAAAACGGCATTTTAACCAGATTTGGCGGCGTACAGCTTTTCCAGCTAAGAGCGATAAGCGGTAAGCGAGAAATTGTTGCCAACACTACCAAGTTCGGCAACCACTCCCCTACTGTCTCCATTACCTATCGAGGACGCTAGCTTCGGAGGCAACGAAGATCTTCCTGCATTGGAGCCGTTGAGACCCTCAAACTAACTCTCTGAAAAACCTCGTCTAAACTACCGAAAGCTGGGAGGATTCTGCCGATATGGAAAATATCCGTCTTAACAAGGGAGGAATGTTGGGACGCTTGGGTCATTTGTATTTGCTGCCCTGAGCGTGGAAAACGGTGGCGCGGCTGTGCGGGCGCGCAGGCGTAGTATGATATGACGCTCGCGAGAGACAGTGACACGTGGAGAGCGGAGATCTGATACCTTGTTATATTTCCAGCTCCAAGTGTATAAATTATCTTTTTTTTTTGTATAGCGTTTACGGACAACCTTCGTTTGTACTCACTTTAGAATAAAAAGTTCTACTACAGCCCAGGCAGCAACGTCACGTCATTTTCACGTCGATAAATGGTCGATTATTAGTCATAGACGTATATAACTGACGTAATAACTGACATTTAAAAGACTTAATTATTTTGACGTGATAATAACGTCATTTAAAGACGTTTATAACACGTTTTTGAGAAATCATTTTTAGTCAGCTGTTCGATAAGCAAAAAATGTGACAGATGTTTACTTAAATTTCACTTATATCAACTGTGGTTTATGTAACCAACAGATTATTATTTATATACGTTGTTACTTATTTGTATTGTTATTTTTTATGAGCTTGCATCTCAAGCGTTTGACTCTTAGGAATAAGCCTCATAGAACTTGCCCTACCATTTCTTACTCACAAACATTACATCGTTGCAATTATCCAGTTAGGATGATGTTCAAAGATATGTTAATTCACTTCTTCACTTCTTCGATAATTTCGATAGACAGGCAAATTTATAGCTGTACATACCCTTTTTACTATTTGGACTCTTTTACTATTACTCAAAGTTTATAATCTTTTATGACTTTGTCTATTTAATAACAGTTAATAATAAAACAATGTTTACTATAAAAATTTAAAGATAACAAAATAGAATGAGCGGGAGTTTGTAGACCTCACCTCATTAGAGAGAGGGGTTAAATTAACAATACAGGGGTTAAATTAACAATACAGATACGAAAAATATAATTTTTATTAAAATTAAATCATTTTATTAAATCATATTATCAAAAAATTATATTACATTGTGTTAAGTATAACACATATAGACAAAATGTAAGACGTTTATATCGATCGAAGAAGTGATGTAATGTCTAAGCAACAGACTTATAATCCGGAGATGCCTTATGGTCCAAGTTCAAGTCCCAGTGCCAATGAGAATTCTTAAATGTGATGTAACATTGGAAAGTAATTAAAATTTTCAAGTAAAATCAGCAAACGCTGTGACATTTAGAAGTAGTTTCTGTTAGAAAATAGAACCGAATAAAAATATTCCTACACGTCATTTTACGTCATTTTATAACGTCATTTTCACGTTTTATTATTGTCATTGGTGGGCTTATTCCGGTCATTTTCCCGTCATTATTACGTGATTACAAAAGGGTAATTGACGTCACGAATGACCAAAAACTGACGTGAAAATCACGTCACGGTGCTGCCTGGGAGGTCACAGCAATGCATGTTATATTACAATTTACATACCTACTTTATATACCTAACGTTGATTGTGATAGCTTAACTGTAATTTATTCGACGTTATAGTAAGTTTTAGTAAGTTACATAAGAAATTTTACAAGTAGTCGAAAATAAAAATGTAGTATAATATTCATAATCTTGCTATTTCAAAAAATGTATGCACATACATTACGATAAATATCGATTGTCTTTGCGACTGATTACACAAACGCAATGTTTTGCAATTATTAGAGAAATTATAGCCTATGGCCATCTTTCCGGTATGGCAATAATATTCAAGTTTACTCTATACTATAGCTTCGTGACCAAAACTTTATACTGTAATTTCTCACAAATAAAGACCTATTTGAACAAACGTTAGGATATTGATGCTCTATCTAATCGCAGTTATCTAACGTGCTATGACTCGTTCTGAAATCGATTTAGCTGGTTGTGGCATCTCCTTGTTAATAAAACTTCTTGAAATTTGTGTGTGATAGCTTATATGCATCATGTATGCATCAAAGTAACATGTAACATCATAAAGTTTTTGTTCGATCTATATTGTGTAGTTTCTGAGCGTTGTATGTTGTATGTTTACGGTAAGCTAGCTATCATTTTACTAATTTGATTACTTATTAGACTTATATTATTCAAAATAGCTGTTTTTTTCTTCTATATACTATTTAATTTTCACATAAATCCACACTTTAAGCCTTCTTATTCTCTGTGATATTTCTTGAAATTGGCGAACAACGCGAATTCCGTTGTTATATTTGACCTAGATTTATAATTTCATGTTTTTATAGAAGTATAGAAAGTAACTCCGACAGTATAATGGATGTATAATGGATTCCACCTTGAATACGAAACGAAATATTTTTGTAAAAGAGCGAGACTAAGAGTGAAAGAGAGGAGGAAAGAGAGATGAAAAGGGGAAGAGAAAGAGAGAGAGAGAGAGAGAGAGAGAGAAAGAGAGAGATTTAAATGGGAGACTAATAGAATAATTCGCGGTTATTTAACAGTAGTAAAAATAGAATCAGATTTAAGTCTTTTCAAGTATATTGAACAGGACCGAAAATACGAATGAAACATTTGACGTATATTCATTTTAGGTATATTCTGTCTATTCGAATAAATTTGTACAGACATTGCAACAAACAACTTGCATTGGTGCTCATTAACTTTCATTTTGTCTGATTTTTTAAACATTACACATAATTTTTTACATTTAACGTATTTTTTGTTATTGTAGGGTCCTTTTGACTTTTTCATACATAATAATTTCAAACAAATTTATACCTGAGGATAGATTGAAAGAGCCAATTCTAGTAGAGACGCATTACCATCGGCAGCTAAAGTATGTAATACCGTCCGTCCATAAGAATCTGCTTGATTAATATCACCGCTTTCACCAAGAAGTTCTTTTAAAGGTTTATTTGAAGATTCGTCAATGGGACTTATATCTTGTAAAACCTGTTCAGAAAAAAATACCATTATTTTCATTAAATTATTTACAATAATGATCAATAATACTATGGAAATTAATTAGTTATTAAATTAGTACAAGTAAAAATATTGAATGAATGATATACATAGTGTCCAATTTTAATGGAAGTAACTACATATAATCTAAATTTTATGTCACACAGTCATTCAATTCTGCTTTTTATGAAGTAATTAAAGATATTTACTAACACTATTTTTCATCATTCATTTTGTTTTGCAACTATCAAAATATAATGTGAAATTTTAATAATTAGAATATATGATCAAATATCAAATATGTCACATAATTTAGTGAGAGTTCCTTCAACTAAATTTTCATTAATATTCTCTTTTGCGTAAATACACATTTTGAGTTCAATAAACGTTTCAATTTTTATATTTGTTGTATTACAAAAATAATGTCAAACGCTTCATTGAGGATGTTCCGGAAAGAATCACTATAACTATATAAACTACGCATATACTTTATTTTTAATGTAAATGCTTTAATAATTAATAATTAAATGTAACATAATTTCAATATCTGCAAACGACTGCAATTTCTTTATCAATTTATTGAATTTTCAAATATATAAGTACTGAGGTATTACCAGGTGTATAAATATGAAACCGGAATTTTTGTATAGAAAATACACGTTTATTGTAGGAAAATGATAAAAAATATTTTATTCGAAGTATGGCCCATCGCTAGCTATACATTTTTCCCACCTATCTGACAATTTGTGGCTGCCACGCCAAAAAAACTGTTGCTCTTTTGAGGCAAACTAGTCATTGAGCCATTTTCATACATTTTCGTAAGAAGTGAAGCGCTGCTTAGCAAGTGCGTGCCATCGATGCAAATAAATAGTAATCGGACGGAGCCAAGTCTGGTGAGTAAGCCGCATGCAAAAGTATTTCCCAACTAAACGCCTCAATCGTTTCCTTGACCAGTTTTGCTGTGTGTGATGGTGCATTATCATAAAGCAAAATCATTTTGTGTTGCCTTTTTTTATATTCTGGTCGTTTTTCACGCAAAGCTTGATTCAAATCGATCATTGGTTGTCGGTAGCGTTCAGTATTAACGGTTTGGCCAGGTTCTAGCAACTCATAATAGATCACACCCTTCTGATCCCACCAAACAGAGCATTGTCTTCTGTCCATAGCGATTTGGCCTTATAGTCAATGTCGATGGTTCGCCTGGAGTTACCCATGATCTTTTACGCTTAGGATTCTCAAAATATATCCACTTTTCATCGCCAGTCACAATTCGATGGAGAAATGACTTTCTTTTGTACCTGGCGAGCAGCATTTCGCAAGTGGTTTTTCGGTTTTCCTGCTGTCTTTCATTCAGTTCATGTGAACTATTTTCCCATCTTCTAGATCTTTCCCATGACTTTGGAACGTATGGAGACGGCTTCTCGTGTCACATTTAATTGATCCGCGAGTTGTTGTTGCGTTTGAGTGTCATCCTCATCCAACAATGCTTGCAATTCGTTGTCTTCAAACTTTTTCGGTGGTCTTCCACGTTCTTCGTTTCTCACATCAAAATCGCCACTTTTGAATTTTTTAAACCACTCAAAGCACTGTGATTTACCAAGAGCATGCTCACCGTAAGCTTCGACAAGCATTCGATGCGATTCTGCAGCAGTTTTCTTCAAATGGTAACAGAAAATCAATGCTGTCCGCAAATCGTAGTTTCCAGGCACAAAATTCGACATGTTCAACGCTATTACAAACCATGCTGTTGTATGAAACTTGTATTGTTGTGAGTTGAAAATCTTTGTCAGAGATGTCAACAAGGAAATGGCGCCAATGACGCGGTTTGACGATAACTACATTGACAGCTAGGGCCATCTATGGGCAAATTCCGGTTTCATATTTACAGACCTGGTATGTTAGAAAATTACTTAATTGCGAATTCGTAATTTTAATAAGCTTATAAACAAATGATATCTTATAAATTTAGCAATCAGTGATGGTTAATAAACGGCATTGACTGTTAACGCGCGACTGATGCGCGCGCGCATCTTAATGTAGCAGAATAAAAAATTTTCTTATAATGCATAGCCTTACATAAATTAACATTATCCCTAAAGTTTCGTAATTTACAATACTTCAGAATGTCTACAGTAATATAAAGTAATCAAAATATTTAAAATAAAGCATTCTAAATTCCATTTCCTTTTTTGTATTAAAAATATAACATGGACTATTGTGTGTCATACAAAAAAAGTTTCAGATAAAAATTTTAGCGTTTTAATAGTAATACGAGTATATATAATAAAGTACTTTGAAGAATATCTTATTTTAATCGATTACTTCGATTATTTTTGCATGGTGAGGTTTAATGACAAAAATGTTTAGATAAAAGTTATATCCTTACGAAAAATACACCGAAATTTTAAATGTTAATCGTCAACTTGGGTGTCAGTTAAGGATTTACCACTAATTTTATTATTAGTTGTTATTATTAGTTATTATTATTTGAGAAATAATGAATTATTATTTTCTTAACTTGATATATTTTATAACTATATTCTTTTAATTTTTCTGTAAAAAAATAAATAAATGCTGCTAAATTTTTATTTAAGTAAAAATACCAATACTTAGATATCTACCTAGCTTTGGGCATTCTTGGTGTTTAGTAAATACAAATCAACATAGATTATACGTATATATTGAAAAAAACATGTTTTACATATTGTAATGTGGCAGCCTCGTCGGAGGCGCCCGTCCCTAAAGAGAACCGCGCCGCTTTCATGCGTATTTTCGATTATCGCGGTCCGGGATAGTTTTCGTTTTCGTGTGAGTCCTTAGGACAAAATTTCAGAATTTATTTCGTGCAAGCGGAGCAGATGCGTAGGTCCTCGCGTCCCAGATTTTGCCCTCTCGGCTTCCCTTGCCGGTCACCAGGACCAACGGAATCCGAGGACGACATGGGACGAAGGAGTATCGGCCGCAAACTCATCACTCATTGTTCTCGCTTAGGTGATCGCTCTCGAATATTTAGCGCTATAATATTCTCGAGTTTCCGATCGCTCTAAATTTCGTTGATGTTCCCGAATATTCTACTGCTTCAGAATATTCGCTAATACGGGAATATAGCTCTCGAATTATGACTCGACATCGTCAGCTGTATTTACATTTCAGCTGACGCTTGGCGAACGCAGCAGGAAGCCAGAAGCGATATCGGAAGAATAATACCGGCCAGAAGATGTCGGTCATAAGAAGCGGTATGCCAATCAAGGCCGCGAGCACATCGACGACGGCGAAAGTGTCTCAAGACAATGAATGTTTCGAGATAACAATATCGGGAGTTACCGATCGTCGATTGGCGAAGATTCGGGATTCGGGTCGAGGAGAGGAGCGACGAGGAGGGATTTCTCAGGATTCGAGATCTTCGAGGAGCGGCCGATCCGACAGCCTGTAGCCGCGACTGTTCCGACGGGAAGACGACCGTTGTACCGTGATCGAGAGCAAACCTCGAGAAGTATCGTCCTTTTGTGAGCTCCGAGTGAGAATACGAGCAAGAGTGCGAGAGAGTGTAGACGAGACGGAGAGCGAGTGAGCGAGCGAGCAACCGTGGAAGCTAACGAGTGGGCGCGCCACGCGTGCAGGAAATAGAGCCCAGCGACCAGGAGGATCGCCGCAGGACCGGCCACCAGCAAAGACAAAGCCGCCGCCGACAAAGACCTTCCATCTGCTCGAAATGTCGAATTTTGTGTTATCCGTTTGTGTTGTCCCGTCCGCGGAGCGGCTGCGAGTGCAGGCTCGCCCAAAGAAACCGTCCTCGGGCCGTATTTCTCGCGTCCGCCATATCGTGCAGAGTCCCGCTAATATCGTTACGCGATAATATCGTATCGCGCGCAGCGGCGATAATGTATGTGTGTGAAGTTAGCATCGCTATTTTGAAAATCAGAGAAAAATGAAATTGTTCTGAGTTGTGCCAGGTTTGTGCTATGTTGCGCCGCAAAAATAAATTACCTATCTCACAGAATAAAACGGAAAATTAAAAAAGTCAATTTTTTTTACCAGCACCGCCATTTGGTTTTTTTGAAAAAACAAAATTTCTGCTGATTACAGCCTTGGATACTATACGTTGTGCCGTAAAAATAACTCTTCCCTTTCCAGTTCAAGAGAAAAAAAATAAAATGTCAAATTTTCAGCCAAGATATTTAATTACTTGTAACTTTTGAACCGTAGCAGATAATTGAATTCAGCGTGTTGTACTGGATTGTGCTAATTGAGTACAACAGAGAACTATTCACAGATGTAAGGAAATTTGCAATCTTGACAAAATAATGGAGAAAAAGTTGGGTGGGTAAAACAAAAATTTCATATTTTTATATTTCTCCAGCTGTACTGGGTTGAGCTAAGCGAGTACAACAACTTTTCCTAATGGCAAATTGACGTCAGACAATCACTGTCCCCAGTACAGCCAAATCTCGATTTCAGTTTTTTCGCTAATCTGTATATTAAAATTTATTCCATTGTAATTTTTTAATCGTGGCAGATAATTGCATTCTACGTGTTGCGCTGGATTGTGCTAATCGAGTACAATAAGAAACTATTCACAGACGTACGGAAATTTGCAATGTTGACAAAATAATGGACAACAAGTTGTGGAGGTAAAAGCCCGCTGAACTGTACAGTACAATACAGCCAGCATTAACATTACATATGGTATTGGGTTGTAGGAAAAGTCATGACATATTTTTTCTGTTTTTCAAAGGTCATTTATTTATATAAAAAATAAAATATATTAATCAATGATATATCGCTCGTTTTGTTCGATAACCTTTTGCCATCTTTCAGTGAGCTTCATAATTCCTCGTTCATAGAAGGACCTATTTTTATCGGCGAAAAATTGAACAAGGTGCTGATTTACAGCCCCATATGAATTGAACGTTTATACCACGCAAGGAGTTTTGAAGAGAGCGAAACAAGTGGAAGTCTGACGGCACAGGTGAGTATGGTGGGTGTGGCAA